CCTGCCCCTTCCTGAACAGAAACAGAAGAGATGACTGGAGGTGGGGGCAGAGGGAAGGCAGGAAACTGTGTGTAGAGAGGGAGGAAACTGTGCTTGGGAGGCAAAATAAATAATTAAATTTTTTTAAAGCTGAAAAAAAAGTTAATCCCATAGCCAGGTGGTGTTGGTGCACACTTTTAATCCCAGCACTTGGGAGGCAGAGGCAGGTGGATCTCAGTGAGTTCTAGGCCAGCCTAGAACTCAAAATGAGTTCTACAAAATGAGTCCCAGGACAGTCAGGGCTATCCCACAGAGAAACCCTGTCTAGAAAAATAAAGAAAATGAGAGAGAGAGAGAGAGAGAGAGAGAGAGAGAGAGAGAGAGAGAGAGAGGGGGGAGAGAGAGAGAGAGAGAGAAAGAGAGAGTGTTAATCCTATGGGGATTCAATTCACCAATACTGGGACCACAGCAGCTACACTGGTACATCAAAAGAATTCCCAAACATACTTGACTTTCAACGGCTTTCCTACCAAAGTCTTTTCCTCTTGCAGGATCCATATTGCATTGTTCTTACTCTCCTGCAAACCGATTTTCCTCCTTTTTAGCGTGTTCCTTACAACAGTAACAGCTTTGAGGATTAACTGTCATCTACATAGGTTTGTTTTCCTCATATTTATGGACTCCATAGACAGAGGACACAGGTTTTCATCCCAGACAGGGTGCTTTTCTCCAACACCACATTCTGGAAAACCACAACTTTTTTTTCTAAAGATTTACCTATTTTCATGGGTCTGGGTATTTTGCCTGCATGTATGTATGTATATATGCATGCATGCATGCATGTGCTCCACACGTGTGCAGTGCCTGAGGAGGCCAGAATTGGAGTTACAGATAGGTGTGAGCCACCTCTTGGGTCCTGGAACTGCATCAAAGTCCTCCGAACCATTTCTGCAGCACCACACAAGGCCCATCAACACAGCTTTTCACTGCCGCTTACCATGGACAGGTGAGGCAGTACCTGTCAGCAATCTGTACGGGAAAGTTGCTATTCTTCCCTTTCCATATTTTATTCTTTGGAAGCAAGTCACTAAGGCTACGCTACACTAACCGTCAATGGTGCCAACTCAGTTCTGTGCTGGCGTACATTTGATCTGCAGGAATTTCACTGACCAACCCTGAAAACTGAGGACAGAAGAGATGAGCCATAGGCAGTGGGAAAGGAACAGCTGTCTTGTTTTTGCCAGCAAGGATTTCAGTGCATCTGGATCAGAACTACCCTTTCAAGGAGTCCGTGAGACTTGGATGGCAACAACTAGCTTTTTGGCTCTTTTTAATATCATCCACACAAGAACATGAAACAAAGCTGCAAATGTCAATTTCCCAGAAACAAACAAAAATGTGAAATTCCAACCCACAACACACAAGAAAGGGCTGCCAAGCCCAGAGAAGGTAAATGGCAGCCCAGAGCTGAGTGGATACCCAGCCCGGCTGCCCTCATTCAGCAAGAGAAAAAAGTCACACAAAAGGAGAAAGTTGAAAATTACATGTATAGAAAGCCCTAAAATGACCACTTTAGAATAATGCCTCGGAATGTTGCAAATGAGCAATCAGTACAGTAGCCAAGCACCAAATCAGTATAAAGACAGAATATTCATACAATGGACAAGATGACTTACACAATATCACTGATCTTTCTGCCCTGCCTCCTAAGTGCTAGGCCGAAGTCATGTACAACCACAGCAGGATCATAAACGATAAATCACCCTACCATGAATCTAAGAGAAATAACTATTATAAATAGTAATAGCAGCATTCCTAATAGGAATAACCACATTAAAATATTAAAAATTACTATTGACCATCAGCTACAAAAATGATTTGGACCTATGTGACTGCCAGGCTAGTCAAGGCTACAGTGCAGTGGTTCTCAGCCTGTGGGTCATGACCCCTTTGGGGGTCAAAAGACCCTTTTATTGGGGTCACCTAAGACCATTGGAATACGCAGATATGTACATTACGATTCCTACTAGTAGCAAAATTAGTTATGAAAGCAATGAAAATAATTTTATGGTTGGAGGCTGACAACCACTGCTATCGTGGAGTACCTTTAAAAAAAACTGAGTACTTATTAAGAGAAAATTATAAGCATAAAATTAATCAGTAGCAATTTATTAAAGCATGAAATTAAAAAGATAGAAAATTATTCAGTGATAATTTGAGGTGAAGTAGATTTTTTTATGTTTTTTTTCTTCCTTTTGGTTTTTTGAAACAGGGTTTCTCTATTGTAGTCCTGGCTGTTCTGGGACTCACTCTGTAAACCAGGCTGGCCTTAGATTCACAGTGAATCCTTGGCAGGGTGAAGGGTCTTTTGAGGGTGATGGGGCTGTGATGATTGAAATTTCATCTAAGTACATGCCAGGCAGTGGTGGCACACACCTTTAATCCCAGCACTCAGGAGGCAGAGGCAGGTGGATCTCTGTGAGTTCGAGGCCAGTTTAGTCTACAGAGCGAGTTTCACACAGAATTCCAAGACAGCCAAAGCTACACAGGGAAACCCTGTCTCAAAAAACAAAACAAACAAAAGCTAAGGAACTAAAGGAATTTATTTTACATAGGTAAAGTACAAACTAAAAAGAAAAAGAAACAACCTATGAGACAATTCTGAAAATAAACATCAGCTCTAGCATATCCAAATTTATGACAGTAGACCCACAAAGTGTAAAAGTCAACCAGAATTGAGTTCAATTCCCAGCAATCACATGGTGGCTCACAACCATCTATAATGGGATCTGGTGCCCTCTTCTGGCAGGCAGGCAGACATACATGCAGACAGAAGATTATACATACTAAATAAATAAATAAATAAAAAAATATTTGAAATCCAGAGAACTGTAGCGTTGAATACACTGTGTTTAGTGGCATTTGGGAAGCAAAGAAAAACTGGATTGCTATGCACCTTGCATTGATAGTTCAAGGTGAATAATCTCTGGATGAAAGAAAAGCCAAAAAACATGTAAAAAACACTCTAAACAACAAAAGAATTCTTCTAGAATCAGAATTATAAATCTTTTTATTATGACACAGTTTTGAAACCATAAAATAAATATAAGCAACTTCTGTATGTATCATCTGCTCTCATTTTAAAGTTTAAAAAGCTACTGTGTGTTCATGCATATGTAAATGGATATGAGGAGCCCCAAAGAGCAAAAGACTGTTGAAAAAATGCCTCCAGGGAAGGAGACTGAGACACACTGAAGTTTATGTTGGCCATGCATGATTAGCAATTCTCAAACCCAGAAACAATTTTTTAATTGTCTACTGCGAACCAGCAGTGTAGGTAATTTGGAGTCACCATAAAACGTTCTTTCGGAGAAGTATCTGGTGTGAGTGTCTGGCTTACAAAAACACAGATGGATCCATGTCCTAGTACTGTGACTTACGTATATAGCAGCTGGCTAGTTTACTCTCCTCAGCCAGGACACAAGAAATTCTTTTGTAATGTCAAAGTTCCACATTCTGAACATCGTGTTACTGCACACCAGAACGTAAAAATCTCTGGTGGTAAAGATCACAGTGCACAGACGACTTGGACTGACCTCTCACTGCCCTTGATGGAAGTTGCTGCACAGCTCTTGCCTATGTCTTTGACATGTTTAATGTTTGAACTCCTTACTGTAAAGGGCCCCTCACCGAAGGCTAGAACTGGGGCAATTTAACAGTTCTTGTGAGAGCTGATATTAAGAATAAAACACGGTGATTCCCTGGGAGAATTAGCTGTATGAGAAATTGAATCTTCTGTAGAGTTATTACTGAAGTGTATTAATCTGGAATAAATCATTTAAGAAGAAAAACTTAGGGAAATTTTAGAAGCCGATCAGTTATAACTAAATCATTAGGTTTTCATCCCTCGTCCAGAAATACGGAACTAGAACGAACAAAGAAAAGATTTTTGATTATAAAGTTAATTGGTCAATGGGCCTGAGTAGCCCCTCTGAAGGCAAAGTAAGCAGTTTTAGGAATCTTGATGTTCTTTTACTCTTTATAGGATTGTAATAAAGATAGAGACCATACTGGGACAAGAGTTCATGACACAGACACAGAAGAGAGAAAGAACATCTTGACTCAGTGAACTGCCTGGTTTCCTGAGCAGACTTGTCAGATCAAGACTTCAATGACTGAAGAAAAGAAGATTGGGTTAAAAGAATTGTTTTTATTATAATATTATTTTTAGTTGTCATGAAACTTGCTGTTTCCTTGTTTTGCTTCTTTTACTTTGCTATGCTTATGTAATCATGGATGACTTTAGAAAAAGTATGTGCCATGAAGACTTTGTAATCAATGACCAGAGACTGTGAGGGGATGATTCTGTGTATAAATAAAGCCTGGGAGATACAGGTTGTCAGAGTGGGCAAAACTACACCGAGATGCACTTCCTGTCTGTCCATCACTCCTACAAAGGAACTAAGAAGCGTCCTGTGTCTGATTTCTCTGTCCCTGCTCTTGCATCCACCCATCTTCAGACCCTGCCCTCATCTGGAGCCAAATTTCCACTTCTCAAAACTAATGGAGGTGGCCCAGATGCAATTAATTTGAATCAGTAAGTCTCACTTAGGCCCTTCAACACCTGATTGCAGGCCTAAATGTGATGGCACATGCCTTTAATCCTACCCAGCTCTTGGAAGGCACAGGTCCATCTCTATGAAGTCTAGCCTAGCCTGGTCTACACAGTGAGTTCTGACGGAGCCAGAACTGCACAGTGAGACTGCAACTCAAACAAGCACACACAGTTCCTTTGTGCTCAGAGTCCAGGTCAAGTCCAATGCTTTCTAATTCCTGCACACACCCTTGCTTTGAAGATACTGTTTCTCCTGCTGAGACTGTACCTCATCTCCATCTACTGAAATCACCCTGCTCCTGGGGACAGTTCAAATCCACTCAGTTCAAAGCTCTTTGCAAACGTGCACTGGCATTATTTACACACACTCAGGGAGGTAACAGAAATGGTAAGGGACACAAAGGCAGAATGTTCAACTCAGAAAGTTATTTATTATTTCAAAGTCCAGCATTATTGGCTCCCTTTTGAAATATTTATTCTGAGAGCAAGAATTTAGTTAAACATTTTAGTAACAAGGGAAATGATAAAAACCAGATATGAAAAAAAAATTAAACAGAGAACCTGATTAAATTCAGAAAAACAAAAAATAACAAAATAAAACACAGAATCATACAAACTGTTAAATATGAAACCAAAACACTGCACATGTATTTTTAAACTGTTGCTGGTATACTCCAACATGGGCCAAATTACCTCTGTCCAAGCTGATGAACAACAAATAGTCACACCTTCTTAAAGCATCCTATTTTGTCATCTACAGTGATTTTTGTGGTTCTGCTTTTTTGATACAGATCCTCATGTGTCTCAGGCTGGTCTTAACTGATCCTCCTCCTCCTATCTCTCAAATGCTGGGACTACAGGCAAGCAGCACCAGGCAGCCTGATATCCAGAGGAATTTTAGAAAGAGTGCATGTTACGAGTATACACTGTCCACATTCAGCAACACGTATTTTACATATGAACACATTCACTTGTACTTAATGGAAAACAAAAAAAAATGTCATTTCAACATCTTGATTTGAGAATAATGGTGGACCTGGCTGTTCTGCTAAATTGCAACATCAAAGTCACCAAATGCACTATCAAAAGATAGTTATGTTAAATGTTTTTAAAAATAATTTTTTTCAAAACTTTTGGACTGTAGGGTAAAAGGAAATATGAGTCTTTGCTCATAAATGACGGTACTTACTTTCTATGGCTAACACAGAAAGCAGCCAAGAGGGATGAGTTCTATAGAAAAGCCTGTCTTTCCAGCAATTCCGAGTGGTGTTACTCAGCACTTCATGAAAACACAGGGTACTACAGATCTGGCAGTTGCTTCTGTTGAAATGTCTTTCTGCCCATGACATCCATCAAAGGCTTTCAATCATACCTGACCTAGGTGTTCCACAGGAGACCAGGATGTGAACGGGCCTGTAGTGGCTATGAAGGCTTTTATAAAAAGTAGTCGCTCTGTGTTTTCAGGAAGAAACAAGAGATGGAGGAGTTCATCCAGAACAACAACAACAACAAACCAGTTCCTACTTAGATCGCAGTTATACAAATAACAGAAATTGAAGCCCAGAACTCCAGAGCACTCTCAGTTTCTCTGTATTCCCTCTGGGATCATGCTCCATCGAGGAGGACCAGGCTGTAGAGGACCAGGCTGCAGTAACACTTTCTTCTGGTCGGGACTTTGGAAAGGGCTCTGCAGGCAGGTGCTTCAGTCCAAGAGTGACGGGGAGCGCACAGACCTGCCGCTGGCAGGGCTGGAGAAGGCAAAGGGCTCCTTGTCCTTGTCTTTGCTGTCGTGCTTGTGTTTGTGCTTGTGTTTGTGCTTGTGCTTCTTCTTCTTGTGCTCATGGTGATGATGATTGCTGTGTCTAGAGGACGTAGACTCCTTACCAAACATCGAGAGCGGAGCTGCTCCCATGCAATGCACACTCATCTCCAAAGGCTGCTCCTTACCTTCAAGATGAAAACACCCAATCAATTTCTGTTGCTAGTACGGAAGGATAGCTATCCTAGCAGGAAGCTGAGGACAGTCTCATGAAATATCCAAATACAACAGCTAACTAGTTCAACAGAATTACCGGCATCTTAGCCAGAAGTCAACTAATTTAGTTCCAACTAGCCTATAAAAAACTATGACATATGCTAGTGTATTAACAAATCATCCTTTGAATCAAAGTTAGTATTTTCTAAGTACTATGATTAAACAATAATGACTAGCTGTGTGCTATATACTAAAATCTATACTGGCCAATGAAAATATAACCCCTTCAAATACTGCTTTGCCATAAACCATTACAGGGAAGGGCAGTTCTTTATTGAGTCACTTAGACTTACAAATATACTAACTATCTTAGTTACTGATAACAGTATCTTAGTGAAAATGAGACGCTCCTTTAGTTGCTTAGATGGTTTCAGGGGATGCAAAGGTAAAGGGAAATCTTCTGAAGGCCCAGTGTTAAAAATGGGGACTGTGAAGGAAAATGTTCCTAAAGACCAGAGTCATGTCAGCAAAAAGACAGGAACCAAAAATCAGGAAACTGTTCTAGATGAGACTGTCCCATTAGCCTTGGGCTGTACTGAATCTCATCTAGAAGGCGACTCAATGTCCTCAAACACTCTCTTCAGCTCTAACCATCTGTGGACCAAGGAAACTGTAACAGTCATGAAGCTGTGATACCACACTATCTTAATTTCAATCTTAAATGAAATAAGTACAATCCTCATGCTACAAGTACAGAAAAGTGGACTCGTATCTCATAAAAGAGAGCCAGGTAACAGGGAAAAGGAACAATGTCCAAGGCACACAAACAACTGAGCTTCTTGCCCATTGTTTGCCATTCTCCATCAATTATTTTTGGCAACTGTCTAAGCTGACTGACTAGCTGCACTTCTCAGAGCCTCAGGTCCTGTGCTGCACCAGCCAAGTGGCTTGGAATTCTGAAAAGCCAACAGTTGTCTTCAAAGTTGTGCTTCCCAGCAGAGGCGATAACGTTTGTGGTTTATTCTCTTCTAGGGAATACCTACAACCACTTCAAAGGTGAATTCATCTTTACCTGCAGGCCTCCTAGCTCACATTAAGATATCTTGACTACATGTCTTGAATTTTGCTTGACTTTTATGAAAACCTAAGAAGTTAACTAGCTTTTAGAATCTGGGTGACAGGATCAATGGCTCCTGTGACAAACCACTGTTTACAGTTTGTGTCAGAATATTTATAAGATGGGCCTGAAACATTAGATACAGCAGCAAGGAACTAAAAGTTCTGCCCAATTGACTCAGCCTTAAAAGATGTGTAAAGATATAGCAATTTCAATACTATTCCTGGATAATAAATATGAACTAAAACTGATCACCATTAAAGGATGCTGGTCAGTGTACTCATGGTTTTAAAAATTATTATATGTACAGCATTAGGCCTTTATCTAGACTGTCCTATTTGGCTCACCCCACTGAGTAATAATGAAGAGGAATTTAGCTTTATAGAACTAATCCATCCTATACATAAAAATGAAACAATTAGAGTAACATTTCTTTGAAACCTTCAATGAGTTAATATATTTAGGTCCTGAACATCCACAATAGTTAACCTCACAAAAATGTCAACTGGATACTGGGTATTTCCAAATGGAAATGCACACCACTGATAAAGCTGAATCTAATCACATGTCTTGAGAGGACTGTAATATTACAGAAATTACAAAGAACTCCACCGTGTTAACTTTACCACAAATAAACAGCAAAATTATATACCTGAAAACCAAAGATAAAAATGTGACTTCTTTAATAAATACATTGCAGGGTAGAGAGAGAAAAAGATGTGGACTAAAATACAAATTTAAAAAGAGAAATGATAAGAGGATTGCACTGTGGACTTTATGTGGGCACTGATGGGAAATGCCTTTTCTATTTTAGATAGCAGACATGGTAAAGGAAGACACAACACATAATTTAAAATACCGTAATTAGTCCATTTTGTTAAACAAAAATATTCTGAATTATTCTGTCTAATATAAAACCTTCCCTAAGACCAAATTTGAACAAACAAACAAGCTGTAGTCAACATATATAAACCAAAAGTACTTAATAAAAGTCCCCATTTGCAAGCAGTGAACAGGCCGGGCACTGGTGGCACATGCCTTTAATCCCATCATGTGGGAGGCAGAGAGACAGGTGGATCTTTGTGAGTTCAAGGCCAGCTTTGTCTACAAAATAGGTCAGCTAGAGCTATTACACAGAGAAACCCTGTCTTGAAAAACCAAAAAGAGAAAATAAAACAAAACAAAAAAAAAAACAAAGAAAAAGAAACAGTGAACAATCTACTAATTTTATTGATTTCTTTCACATTAGGGAGTTCATATTTAAGACAAATCCAGTAGCTGTTTCTATTAGGAAAGATATCAATTGTGTTCTTTGATTATTTAGAGCAAATAAAAATTAAGATGTTGAAATACATCAATATAATTTAAAGATTAAAAAAAAATTAGTCTGTTTTTCAGGGTGATTTCCAAAAGGAAGGTCTCTAGGGAAAGCATCCAAGCCTTTAAAACAAAACAAATTGTTTTAATTTCAAAGTAATGTTTGAAGGACTAGAATTGTGTTGTTTGAGTTATGCAAGAAGGCATTGCACAATCCACAGTCTGAGGGACAGCTGCAGGACTCTCCTCTTCCCCTCGGAAACCGCTCGGGAATTCCTTCTGCTCCACTTTCACTCTGTCCCCTCTGCTCTTCTTCCCCTCTGCGATCACTAAATGAACTTGGGAGACCATGC